CGCTCTTGAGGAATGCAACCCAAGAGCTTCCTCAAGCCATTGTTTAAGCCCATCAACTTTGGCATAGACTTCTTGAAATTGAGCTTTGAGGGTATCTGCCAGTTGTTGATTGTTGGGGATGGTGGAGTTGAAGAGTAGCCTGTGAATTTCCTTGGTGAGTTGAAGGATTTCAGGACCATGGAAGTTGGTTGACAAGGAGCGTTGCAATCGGTTGATAGTAGATTGAAGGACTGAGATAGTGGACTCATATGCAGTGTGAGTCTCAGCTATCAGCTTTTGAGATTGGGAGGCTTGATCCGCAATGGCTGCTTGTAGATCTTTCTTGATTGCGGTCACCTCAGAGATGAGGCGTTTCGCAGCAGCCATGAAGTCCTTGTGATCTGCTTGAAGATTGTTATCCAGGGATCGAATTCTCATTTCGACCTTGAGAGAAATTCGTTCAGCAACCAATCTCTCACGAGTTTCCAATCTCTCGATCCTTTCGATCAATGACTGCGGTCCGGGCATGTCTTCTCGTTGCGGTTGAGTTGGCTTGACCGCAGCAAGAATTTGATCTACCTTTGCTTGTAGACTTAGAAATTCTTTCCTTGATACCGCATTCTACTTCTTTTTCTTCTTCTCTTTGGGCTTAGAAGTTGAATGATGAGAGCCACTGGATTCTTCTTCTTCATCAAACATCATAAGATCATCATCAGAGGGAGAGGGTTTGTTTACCTCTTGTAGATCAACATCATCAAAACCGAAGGTGGGAGCAGAACTGACTTCGCTTGCGGTTCTTTCATCTTGTGATTCTTGAACAGTGGGAGTTGGAATTGGATTTGGAGTTGGAGTTGGAGTGACTTTGGAGGGGCCTGCACCTTCAGCAGTGGATTGAGCTTTAAGGATCGTCTCAGCCATCTCTGTCATCCAGTCTTGAACTTTCAGTATGGTGGCTAAGATTTTGGCATTGTTAATTGCATCAGCCCAATACTTAGCCACAGCTTGGATTTCTTGTTCCTTTTGCTGCTGTTGCTTGATTTGTTGATCTTTTCGTGCTTGGAATGCCCTACGGAAAGCGGCATACTTCTGAATGTCGGCTTCAGATACCGGAGTGTAGTTCAACCATGCGTCATTAGATTGGTCACCGTCAAATCCTTGGTATCGCACCGAAGTGTCCTTCGGGTCCACGGATCCTTGCACAGTTGTGCTCACCGTGCCTAAACCACCTGTTACTGATGTAAGCAGAGTAGGATTTCCTGAGCATCCTTGGTCTCCTTGACCCGTAGTCAAGTTTGGTCTCGGCTCCTTTCCGGCAAGGTCGGAAGAAGTGCCCTGCGGCTGGGAAGGCCCAATGTTCGAGTTTGTCGGCAGCGGTTCATGTGATAACACCTGCCCCTGCAACATTGAGGATCACCGACGGCCGTCAGGGCCAGGGAGAGGCGCCTGTGGCGAGGAGTAGGGTATTCCAGTTGGTTACAGAGGAGACACGAGCAGCTTCCGATGTTGCAGGTGCGTATCTTTGCTTTCCTATCCGTTATTATTTATGATTTATGATTTATTATTAATTTCTCGCATCCATATGAGTAGTTGTATCTTGGGATTATACTTTCTGCTTATGTTCGGATTAAATGCCATCTGCATACCATGGGTCTTAGGGTAGTATTGTGGGGACGTCTCCGTATAAACTGAATTCTCAGGATGCGGTAGCTGTAGCAGGTGTGAATGGAACCAAGAAGTATGCTGACGGTCCTCAGGGGTCTTACTGCTTTAGCGTTAGTTTTTGGGAAAACTAACAGTGGTAAGCATTGGTTGCCAACAAGATTGATCACTGGATGATACGAAGGATTGAGGATCTTTCCAGCCGGGCGTGCTGTAAGATATTGGTGGAACCAAAGTGGGGGAGAGTTCTCCAAGGGTTCCGGAACAGAAGGAAGCGTGGATGTAGGATGAGTTTGCATTCTCGTCAGGAAGAAGGGCAGCCCAAGTGGCTATTGGAATGAGGGGTATGTGAGTTAGGAGTTTGGGAAACTTCCCGACGTAGGGTTTTGCGTCCTTGTTTGATAGCTAGCTTAGGAATCAAGGTGGGGATTTCAATAAAGACGCGATCTCAGCCAGGAGGTTTGTAACATCCCAAATTTCAAGACCAAAAATTTCATTCTTGATATAACAATTTTAGAAAAACATTTATAAGAAAACATAATTAAGTCATCTCTTTTCATAAACCATAATATCACATCTCAAAATCATATCATAGAAACAGTAACAATGTCAGAGTACAATCCCAAGAAATCTCTGCGTGTGTGTGATGTGCCGCTACTGCGTCCGCTCCTTCCCCTTCGTTGAAGAGGTACCAGAAACAAAACTGAAAACTGTAAGCACGAAGCTTAGTGAGTTCCCCCATCATACCACATACCATACAATCACATGACATACATACTGCCAGGGATACATGGGTGCCCGACCTACCCCTTCGGTCCTCTCGACCGGTGACCTTGCCTAACATATCTGGGTGCTGGCCTACCCCTTCGGTCCTCTCGACCGATCTACCATATATTATCATATAATCATAATTTGTCTAGCATAGCTGGGTACTAAACTACCCCTTCGGCCCTATCGGCCCTATCGGCCGGTAACTTGGGAACTATCTCCCCCTACTGCTATGATCACATAACATCATATCATGCTAACACATAAACATATCAAGTAGAAGTAAACACGGACAATTATCACAAAGACAATTGTCTAACATACACTCCTACTGGTGGGCCGGCATTGTGGCCTTAGACCCACCGCTACTGGAAGGTAACTCACCTCGATGTCGCGTAGTGTCTGCACAATCCTCGGTACGGAATCTTCTCGTCTCAACTCCTCAATCCCTACACAACAACCCTCCTTGATTACTAATCCGTACCCACAACCCTCCTTTACAAGGGTCAACTCAAGTCCATGTCAAAGTCAAAGTCAACATCCAGTTGACTTGACTCGTCGAGTTGGTCCACCAACTCGTCGAGTCCCTATTCTATCAAGATGATACAACCCTCGACTCTACTCATTGAGTCTAGCAAGAACTCGACGAGTTCACCTTCATCCATAACATCAGGAACATCTTCAACCGACTCGCCGATTTCATCCTTGAACTCGTCGAGTTCATCTTCATCATATGAATGTGTCCAGTAGATGACTCGTCGGGTTCTATGAAAAACTCGTCGAGTCCGTCTTCATGGGTTGGGAGATTGCCTTGGACTTGCCGAGTTTGTTCATACACTCGCCGAGTCCCATGATTTCCAGGTCCATAATCACGTCCATCTTGTTGAGTCCTCTTCTAGACTCAACCAGATTCCTCAGAAACAGAAAAGGTTGGGGAACCAATACCCGACTCGCCGAGTCCCCCAAAGTCCATATCCATAAACTCGATTTCTGTTGAGCTCATCTCATCCAAAGGGTAGATCTGACCTCCTAGGGTCGATATAACACGTAAAGTCACGAACCACTACTAGAAAAACAGCCTTTTACGACGCGCAATGCGTGACGTAAAACGCTCAGACGACGCGCAAATGCGTGTCAAGGAAGGCCCTGTCATAAGGAGAGACGACACGCTTTTGCGCGTCGTCTATTTACGACCCGCAGTTATGATACGCAATGCGTATCAAGGAAGGCCCTGTCATAAAGGAAGACGACACGCATTTGCGTGTCGTAACCTTACGACGCGCGTGTTTATGCCACACAATGCGTATCAAGGAAGCCCCTGTCATAAATGAAGACGAGACGCATTTGCATGTCATAAACTTCAGTAACCATTTTCGATATGCATTTACGACGCGTCTTTACGGTACTCATTTACGCATAATACAAAAATATGTAAGCAAATATATACCAAAACAATCAATTTCATCCAATAACATCATGTCAAACAAGTTATCAAAAAATTGTAATACATTGATATTAAGGGGATCTAATTGTACATTGTTATTAAGGGGTTTTCCGTAACTATATAACATAATACTACATCCCTAACTATATAACCCGATCCTTCGTGTCATTGGCTTGCCACCTGGTGTACCAGGTAAAACTGTTAAACTTGGTGTCATGGGCGGCTGTCCACCGGGCATGGATGGCAAGTAAGGCCTTGAAGCATTAGATGAAACAAAATAAGTTTTATTAATCACACAATCAACAAACTTTAGAAGTACCTTATAAGCAAGTGGGAGTATTGAAGTCCCCGAATTTGCATACATAAGCCTTAAAATCCTTGGCTATCTGCACAACAAGCTAGTTTCCACCAGCAACATGGGCAAATATGTCCAAAAACTATTTGAATGACCTAATCATCTTTAAATAGCATCAAATGAACACCAATTCTCTATATCTTCTTCATTTAGACCAAAAAAACAATTAAAAGACCTTGATTTTTAATTAATTGATTAAAAATGACAAATTTAAAATAAATGGTTTAAATAAATAGACTTGTTTAAATGCAAATGCAACAGAGACAACTCCTGGTTAGACCAGCCCACCAAATTACCAACTAATTAAATTATTAAATTATGCTTAGATAAATGAAATTTTAAAATAGAAAAGAAATAGATTGGTTATTTTGTGTGTGTGTGTTCCTCTGGTGTTGTGTTGAGATTTTTGACGACTCACCCCTGCTTCTATACATGTAATTGGAAATAATAGAAAAGGGAAACACAAAAGCAACACGCCCAACCAAATATTAACAACATCATGGTGTTGTAAAGGCCAATTTTGGTCCAAATACTCTGGCACGAAAATGATAGTATGAGTATATATACAAGGGTAAAACGGTCATTTACTCATATCCAAACATCACTTACTGTTTTATCCATGCAACACATAAGTGTCATTAAATCAGGTATCATTAAAGCAGCTAAAGATAGAGTCAAGAAACTTCCACTTAATCTAGCACTAAAATAAGCATGCATTCAGAAAGCTGCAGGGGTGAGTCACAATTCATGAATCTATTAAAATTTGAGGAATAAAATCAAAATCAAAATCTATAATCATGGTGATACAGAAGCAGTTACAGATACTTCAGTCCCAGTTGACTTTTCTTTCTTCTTTGGTGTTTCTTTTTGTTGTAGAACAACTTTGTTTGGAACCAACACCAATGTCATGTTCATGTCCCTAAAATTCTTGCTCTCCTCAATCGCTAGCTGCACATTACAATATTCTTATATTTTTCAAAATACAACGTTGTGCAAAAAGACGTAAACGCCCTTGTCATATCACATACACATACCTCCCCTACATCATCACAAAAACGTCTAATAACATCAATCGCATTATTTTTTAACTCGTTTTCACGTCCATTCAAGTTCACTATTAGTTTCACCTGTCAAATTACCAAAAAGTACATGATAAAAATCATCACATTTCAATTAACAAACACACACACACACACACACACACACGCAATAACACACAGAGAGATCAAATGAATTATTAAAAAACCTTGTCACCATCTTTTAGAAACTTCTGAGCAGCTTTCAAATGCACAGTGTAATCATGCACATCGATGTTGTAACTAGTAATAAAAATGAAGATAAAAGTTTATATTGTTTTCAATTACATAAATCATTTATTTGCTAAAGATGAATAGACCAAATACCCCCATTTTAAGCTCCTTTTGATCCACACGATGAGCTGGCATCAAATTACATCTATTTCTGTCAATATTTTTTTATTTTATTTTTCTTGTATTAATGAACTAATGTTAAGAGAATTAGAAAATTCACCAGAACTTTTCTTCTACTGATCTCGTTTCTTCTTTTGTTGCTCATACTTATATTTGCTGCGAAATTTGTTGAAAATGGTAATAAATATCAAACAGGATTTGGAATTTTAAAAGACAGATAAGTAAAATTACAAATTAGAATATGAGATGCAATTTACTTGTAATCCATGAACTTGACAACAGGAGGATCTGCCTCTGGAGACAATATAACCTACAAAATTAAAATATTTTATACGAAGGAAGAATAGAATGGTTAACATATAGTTTAACTTCTTAAAAAAGAAAGATTTTACTTATAACAAATAATAAAGCAAATTTGCTGAAAAATTATGGATTACAAATATAAGAATATAGCTGATTCAAGCCTTATCTATTTTTTTGTTTTTATTTATAGCTGATTCAATCCATCAAAGAGTAAAACTTTCAGGGGTAGAATAGTAAAATAAAGGCCATGAACCAACAATCCATCAATGAATATACATTTTTTGATTTTTTTAAACATACCTTGTCTATTTCTATATCAGATAGCTGATTCAAGCCAACAAAAAATATTAAATTTGTGAATAGAAGTGAAAAATCAGGCTTCTTACCTGGTTAGAAGTTGTTAATTGAAGTGGTGGTAAATGGTGATGATGGTGGAGAGCAAAGAAACATCGACCAATAGAGTTAACATAATCAAATCATAAGGGATTGGTGGCAAGTAATCCTTCATTGGCTTCATGAATTGCTAGCAACAGATGTGAAAATAGTACTGCACGGGAATATTTTGTACTGATTACTCTCAGTCTTAGTCTCACTCAGGGGCAAAAAGGTAATTTAACAAAGAAACATGATTATCTTACCATGTATGAGCAAAAGGCAAACGGTCAGAGCTTCCATAAGCTTTGTGAATCTGATTGGTGGTGTTAGTCTTTGGAGTAGCTTGTGCAAAACCATTCAGATGTGCCACTTTGATTCAGTGGCCATTCAGACCAATGGAGCTGAATAGATCCAAATGAGAAAAAAGAACATACACACAGAAAATTTGGCCATCCAGCTGGAGCTTGAGGTTGTTGTGACATAAATTTTTCTTCAATTGGTGACTTTGTAGAGCTACCTGATCTTGAGAAAAGCCACCTATACTACCTCAAACTTGTTATATAATATGGGAAATATATTCATATTTTAAGAGAAGTGATCTTCAGTAAGTTTTAGCAGACACAATGAAAGAATAGTTTAAACTTGCACAGGAGATAAGGAAAAATAGGGTACCAGCTGGGAACTGCTATGTAGATAAGAGGGGTATCAAATTTTCAACAAAATGGATATGAATGTGTAAAGCTTCCAGATATTCAAAATTTTCAAACAATAACAACAAAATTAGTGTGATATGATAACATCAAGATCAAACACAAGAGTAAAGTGATCAGATTTATGTCTCTTACAGCAAACGAAACCTAATTTGACAAATTCATATGAATTGGGACGACAGATGTTTAACAAATAAAAGTAGAAATTTTACCTGAATGAGTAGCAATAGATTTCAACCCATCAGGACTAAATCCATCACAACTCAATAGAGACAGAGCTTTAAAATCTGGAAAGTTCGACGCCAGAAACTCCAAACTCTCGTCGCTAACTGCCATTCTCTTCAGTCTCAGCTCCTCCAGGAATGGATACGCTTTGGCGAGAACACTCAACCATGGATGAACATCAGCTCCCCAATCCTCCGGTACTAAATTGAAATCTGAAAACCTCAGTTTCCCCTTCAAGGTCACGCTCCGAATCTGAGGAAACCTCCCGGCTACAATCTCTGGCGACACCGAGTAGCAATTTCCGATAAACGCATGACGTCTGCTCCACCGCTCAGCATTGTACCAGTTTTTACATATTAGAGACACGGAACTGCGGTCCTTTTGATAGTTTATCAGCGAGAGCATCGGTTCTAGAACCTCATCAGGAAACGGATACACCGGAGTTGATTCCGGCGACACCTCAGCAGGATCAACCGGACCGACTCGGTCAACCGTTTTGGTTCGCTTCTGATTTAGATCCATACTTCACTGCAAAATTTCAATTAATGATTTAGCTCATTGCAAGATACGCACGAATCACGCATCAGGACCTAGGGCTTGTAAGTACAACAAAACATCATGAGAAACCTTCATCATTGGAAAGAGAGATTGTAGATGGAAGAGAAAGTTGAGATGGAAGTGAACGAGAGATGGAGACGGAACCAACCTTAAATCGCCATGGCGGGGTTTTCAACTTTTCTACTTTTTTTGGGGAATTCCTTTTCCCGCTGCTACTAAAGATGAAGATGCGCGTTTCATTAAAAAAATATAAAGCGACATGATTTCACGATACACTTCTTAAGATAGGTGCCCTCCGCGTTTTTTTAACACAAATTTTAGGGCACGCAAAAATGCGCGTCCTAAATCCTTCACATTTTGGAAGAACTGACATTATTTTTAGGGCACACACTTTTGCGTATCGTAAAACAACGCGTGTCATGGTTTTCGCGTCATTAAAGAGTATTTTTCTAGTAGTGAACTTTACGTCCATGCATGGGTCTTTAAGCTCAAAAGACTTAAAAATGAGGTCTACAAGATGCATGGGGCTCTTATGGCCATAAAGTTAGCACCTTTATGCCATGAGAACCCTTCAAGGTTGAAGATCTGAAGCCATTACTTCTACATTACACTCTAAACCCGAAATGGCTTAGAAATACCCCAAAGATATCAAGATTCAAGCCCTAAAGTAAATCTAACAAATAAGAAGTCAAGGTTGGAGCTTTTTACCTCCAACAAGCTGGAAATGCAACCAAATCTCTGGATCTACTGACTTCCTCTTGAATCTCCAAGTCTTTCCTTCCTTCTTCAAACTTCAAATCACAAAGAATGGCACAAAATAGCTCAAGAACACTCAAAAGTTGATTAGGGTTTCGTGAATAGGGTTTGGAGGTGATGGAGGCTGGGGTGGAGGCCTCATAAAGTGTTTAAATAAGGTGCAAACCCTCAAATTTATGGTTTCACTCAGACAGCTCCTACTCGCTGAGTCGGTCTTCCGACTCGTCGAGTAGGTCACTTAACCCCCCCCCCCCCGATCCGAAGTCGAACCTACTCGACGAGTTGGGCCTCCAACTCGCCGAGTCCCAGCGTAAAATATGAAGTTTTGCTTGAATTTAAATACGTACCTGAAACCAGGTGTTACAACTCTCCCCCACTTATTTTAGACTTCGTCCTCGAAGTCTGCTACTGAGTCCTGAAAAAGCTCGGGGTAGTGCTCCCTCATCTCTTCCTCCGACTCCCAAGTCCATTCCGACCCCTTGCGGTGTTGCCATTGCACATTCACCAGCTCCACCCTTTTGTTCCTCAAATCCTTCGACTTCCTGTCGAAGATCGCCACTGGCCGCTCGATGTAGTTCAGGCTGTCATCCACCTGAATATCCTCCAAGGGCACCACTATCGAGTCGTCCACCAGGCACTTCCGTAACTGGGAGACGTGAAACGTACTATGAATCTGACTGAGTTCGGCTGGGAGATCCAACCTATACGCCACCTTGCCCACCCGAGCGACAACCCTGAAAGGTCCAATATACCTGGGGCCCAACTTGCCCCGCTTCCTGAATCGGATGACGCTTTTCCAAGGCGACACCTTCAGGAGGACCATATCCCCGACCTGGAACTCCAGGTCCGAACGACGCTTGTCGGCATAACTTTTCTACCGACTCTGAGCAGTCTGAAGCCTGCTCCCAACCTGATGAATCCTCTCTGTCGTCTTGCGCACCACCTCGGTGCTCCCCATGACCCTCTGTCCGACTTCACCCCAACATATCGGGATCATGCACTTCCTCCCGTACAACATCTCAAAGGGAGGACGATCGATACTCGCGTGATAGTTGTTGTTGTAGGAGAACTCAGGTAATGGAAGATAGGTATCCTAGCTACCACCGAAGTCTAGAACACATGCCCGCAGCATATCCTCCAAAGTTTGGATGGTCCTCTCGCTCTGACCATCCGTCTGCGGGTGAAAAGCGGTGCTAAAGTGCAGACGAGTGCCCAAATCGTCATGGAATTTCTTCCAAAATATGGAAGTAAACCGCACATCTCTGTCTGAAATCACGGAGACTGGCACTTCGTGTCGAGCTACTACCTCTCGGATATAGATATCGGCCAGCTTCTCGGCCGAGATGCTCTCCTGGATCGGTATGAAATGGGCACTCTTGGTCAATCGATCCACGATGACCCAAATCGAATCCACTCCCCGTGCGGTCCTGGAAGCTTTGTGATGAAATCCATAGTAATATCTTCCCATTTCCACATAGGGATATCCAACGGCTGCATCTTTCCGTGAGGCCTCTGGTGCTCGGCCTTGACCTTCCTACAGGTCAGGCATCTCTCGACATACCAGGCTACATTCCGGTTCATGCAGGGCTACCAATAATCAGGACGAAGATCTCTGTACATCTTTGTCCCCCCGGGAAGAATGGAAAATCGGGATTTGTGCGTCTCTTCCATCAGAACCTGGCGCACACCCCTGCGGTATGGAACCCACACCCTGCGGTGTAGTGTCAACAACCCTCGGCTGTCGTAATCGAAGGAGGAAACCTGGCCCACAATACACTCACTCTTACGATGTTCCTCCTTCATAGCCTCCTGTTGGGCCTCTCGAATCCGCTCCAACAGCGGAGTCACCACGGTCATCCTCATGTAGATATCTCTGATCGGCGCTGCCTTACGGCTAAGCACATAGTCCACGACATTGGCTTTCCCCAGGTGGTAAAGGATCTCACAATCGTAATCCTTCACCACGTCTAACCACCGACGCTGCCTCATGTTCAGCTTCGGCTGATCCATGAGGTACCTCAAACTCTTGTAGTCCGTGTAAATGGTACATCGGACCCCATAGAAGTAGTGTCGCCAAATCTTGAGGGCGAAGACGACCGCCCCCAACTCCAAATCATGCATCGGGTAATTCGCCTCGTGAGGCTTCAGCTGCCTCGAGGCGTAGGCGATGATATGCCCTCGCTGCATCAGTACTGCGCCCAAACCTGAAATGGACGCATCACCGGTATGCTACAAAATCCTCCACGCCCTCTGGCAGGGCGAGGATCAACACCTCGCATAGTCTCCGCCTCAATGTCTCGAATGTGGCCTGCTGCTCAGGCCCCCAACGAAATACAACGACCTTCTTCGTCAGCCGGGTCAAGGGTACGGCTATCTTGGAGAAATCCTGGATGAATCTCCGATAATAGCCGGCCAATCGCAGGAAGCCCCGAATCTCAGATAGAGACTTCGGAACCTCCCATCTCATCACGGCCTCCACTTTGGCCGGGTCGACCAATATCCCGTCCTGGTTGACCAGGTGCCCCAGAAATTGCACCTCGCGCAACCAGAACTCGCATTTGCAGAACTTGGCGTACAAGCTCTCCCTCCTCAGGGTATCCAAAACCTCTCGCAGATGCTCCTCATGTTGCTCCTGCGTCTTGGAGTAAACCAATATGTCATCAATGCAAACTATCACAGACCGATCCAGCATTGGTCTGCACACGCGGTTCATGAGGTCCATGAATGCGGCAGGAGCACTGGTGAGCCCGAAGGGAATCACCACGAACTCGTAGTGGCCATAGCGAGTCCGGAAAGCAGTCTTCTGTATATCCTCATCCCTGACCCTCATATGATGGTAGCCTGACCGCAAGTTTATCTTGGAAAACCAAGATGCTCCCTGAAGCTGGTCGAACAAGTCATCTATCCTTGGAAGTGGGTAACGGTTCTTCACTGTTACCTTGTTCAGCTCCCGGTAATCAATGCACATGAGATGCGACCCGTCCTTTTTCTTGACAAATAGGATCGGGGCTCCCCAAGTTGAACTACTCGGCCTGATAAATCCCTTGTCGAGCAGCTCCTGCAGCTGTGTAGACAACTCCTGCATCTCGGGAGGAGCCAACCGATATGGTGCCTTGGCTATCGGAACCGCACCAGGGACTAGGTCGATCCTGAACTCCACCTGTCGCTCCCGAGGTATCCCAGGCAGCTCCTCTGGGAATACATTCGCGAAATCTTGCACCACCGGAACATCGCTCACTGTCGCCTTACCCGCCTCTCGGGAATCCATAACAAGCGCAACCTCGCTGGAGGTAGAGCCTAGCCCTCGTTGCTGAACATAAAGTCGGGCTGCCCTGTGGCCTCTCGCCCTGAATCACCAGCTCTCCCCCGCTTGGGGTCCTGACACGCACCAACTGCTGTGGACAGTCAATCACAGCCCCATTAGAGCTCAACCAATCCATACCGATGATGACCTTGTTCCCATGCAAAGGAATAGGAACCAAGTCTACTAAATAACGTTCCTCAAACAATCTCAAAACACATTCCCTGAAATCCTCTGATGCTCGCACCGATCGATAGTCCGCAATCTCGACCTCCAGGGGGCAATCCAACATGCCCGAAGACTCAGGGAACCTCTTGCTAAGCGCAAGAGAGACAAATGATCGGGTAGCACCCGAATCAAACAACACCTGAACTGGGATACCGTTCACATGGAATGATCCTAAACAAGACATATCACATGGCACATCAATATCATAAGCAACATAAAATAAAAGCTAGGGAGAAGAAATCATACCCGTCACCACATCGGGTGCGGCGCGTGCCTCCTCGGTAGTCAACTGCAAGGCTCGGCTCCTCATCACTGGAGCCTCTGTCTTGCCCTGCCGACCATCAGTGATCCGCAGGGTCGTTGGAACTGGCGCCGCCACTGGCGCTGCTGCTGTCAACTGAGGGCAATTGGCCTTTTTATGGCCTCACTGGTTGCAGCGGAAACACAGCAACTCTGATGTCTGGAAAGTGGGTACAGGGGCGGTACAATCCCTACTGAAGTGCCCCGCTTTGCCGTACTTGTAGCAGCCCGATGATCCCAACCTACAAACCCCCTCATGAGTCTTGCCGCACTTTCTACAGCGGCCTCGGCCCTGCTGGCCCTTCGACCTAGAGTCGGATCCCTTGGGCTTCTTCCCCGAAGCCCCAGTCACATGCCCCTCCTCCGCCTTCCTCTTCCT